CCGTCGTCGTCGTCGTCGTCGCCGTCGTCTAGGGGAACGCTCAATGAATTAAGCAGAAGAACTCAGAGGTCCGAGTTGTGATGTTTATGTCGTTCTTCGTTCCCCTACCGTCGCCGCCACCGCCGCCGCCGACGTCGTCGTCGAAGACCCAGCTCCAGGAAACGGATGGCCGATCTATGGAAGCGGTGCCAGGCGCTCTCACCCCGACGCCGCCTGCAGTACACACCGAAGCTCCCCCGCTCGAGCGCGGGCTTGGATCCCAACCCCTCCTCCTCCTCCTCCTCCTCCTCCTCCTCCTCCTCCTCCTCCTCCTCCCTCCTCCTCCTCCGCCTCCTCCTCCTCCTCCCCCTCCTCCTCCCCCTCCTCCATCCCGGTTGTTGAAGGCCCATCCTGCTCGACATCCCTCACAGTCTACTACTCCGAGGCGCCCTGGCCAGAGGGGCCCCAGAACTGAGGAGCGGCGCTCTCGCTTCAGGTGCACTCGCAGGTCAATGAAGTGGGGACGCACTACCACGACAACGACCCCCGCTCGATGCCCCCTTACAATCTACTCCGAGATGCCCTGGCCAGAGAGGCCCCAAAACTCGAGAAAGACGCTCTCGCTCGACTTCCTCGCAACTCAGCCAAGTTGGTGGAGGCCCGACTACGACGACAACGCTCCCGCAATGTATTTCCTCGCAAATTACTCCGAGACGCACTCTCCAGAGAGGCCCCAAACTCAGGATCGGCGCTCTCGCCCGAGAAGTCCTCGCAATTCAATCAAGATAGTGGAGACCCAGCTACGACCTCACAAATTACTCCGAAACGCCCTGGCCACCGAGGCCAGCAAACTCGGAAATGGCGCTCTCGATATGAAGGCCCAACTACGACGACAACGGCTCCCGCTAGATACTTCCTCACAGCTTACTCCGAGACGCCGGCAAGACTCAGAATCGGCGCTCTGGCTCGAGAGTTCGTCGCAGTTGAAACAGGTTGGTGGAGGCCGAACTACGACGACAACGGTTCCTGGTCAACAATTCTCCACAACTTACTCAGGAACGCCCTGGCCAAAAAAGGGCCCAAAACTCGAGAATGGCGCTCGCGTCCGGGACTTCCTCGCAAACCACGCGAGTTGGCGAAGGCCAAACTGAAACGACAACGGGCCCCGTTCGATATTCCCTGACAGTTTACTCCGAGACGCCCTGGAGGCCCCCCCAACTCAGGAGCGGCGCTCTCTCTTCAGATTTCCTACTCCAGATCTCGTAATAAAAGGGAGGGGGTCTGGACCCTCCAAGACAAGCCATTTCAGACCTCCCCCGTGGGGGAACCCTCCAAAACATCGTCCCCAGACCCCCCCAGGCCCTCCAAGATAGCCTGGAAGAGACCCACCCCCGAAATGAGACCCCCCTCCCTTTATTACGAAATCTGGAGTAGCAATCCAATGAAGTTGGTGAGCTGCCCGCGGGTGCGTCAGCTCGCACGACGGCCGTGGCGGCGCGGTGCGCACGTATAGTGCTGGTATGAAAAGCGTTGGTAGATTCAGGTCGGGCGTGTCCCCCTACAAGCGGATTCTTGAACGATCAATTAAATATACTCCAACAGAGATCCAAACAATACAAAACAGCTCGTCCACAGACTACTGTCTGCCTGTTTTTGAAAAGTCCTCCCGCAGAGGGACGGAGGCCCGACTGCAGGGCAGATCGGGGAGAAGCAGGGCGGCCCTGTGCCTCGAGACCCTGGCCAATCCGAGCCGGGGCAAAGGGCCTGGCCCGGCCGCGCTCGGCGAGGCGGTCGGTCGACGTCGCCCGCTGCCCGGCAGGCAGGCGGCGGCCGCGGAGGCCCGGGCGGGCGGCGGCCGGGGCGCCGGGCAGGGGCAGAGCAGCAACATTCTTTGATTCGGAGCCTCATGGCATCTGATTTGGAGCCTCCTCCTCACTACTTTTCCAACCTCCTCATCCTCTTCTTCTCCTCTGCTTGAGATTGATCCTGGGTCCTCCTTGAGAAGCCCTCCTCCTGCTCCTCCTTGAAGCCTAGGCAGAGGCGGAAACAGGATCTGTCGGCACAGCGAGGCGAGGAATGCTGGGTGAGCCTACGTTTAGGTCGGGCATGTCCCCCTACTAGGCGGAGTGGGCGAAAACAAAAACAATACCAGAAAAGTGCCCCCCGCATGCCCCAACAGAGTCAAAAAGAATCGTCCCCAGGCTATGTTTTGCTTATTTTTGAGCGTCCCTCCTGTAGAGGGACAGGCCCGACTTGAGCCTACGTGGGAGCCTCTGCGTTGGAGGCCTGGAAATGGGCACCAGCACCAGCACAGGAGGGTCTGCCTCCACAGAGGGGAAAAGGATCCTGGACTTCGGTGCTGGTGGGTATATATATATATATAGATATCGGCCACCTTGGAAGCCACGATATGGCCACCATCACCGAGATCGGGATCTTCTTCCCTCGGTGCACACCGCCGATATTGGTGTTGGTGTCAACCTCTAGGCCTGCGACTGTGGAGCCTCCGAGGCCCTATCATAAGCAAGACGTCGACTGGATTTCTTCCAGACTTCGGGCACCCCTCTCCCCACCATTTCTCGTCCAGATTTCGCCCAGATGTCGTCGAAGTGTCGTCGAGATGTCGACCAAGTCCGACGAACTCTGGACGAAATCCCCAAAATCGATGGGAAATCTGGGACTCTCTAAGGCTCCCATGAAGGACCGGACAAGAAATCGGATCGAATCAGCATGTGGGTCAGATCGGACTGCATCGGCAAGGAGTCGAGATCGAACCGAAACAGCTGCGCCAGGACGCACGACGGTCCCCCTGCAAGCATCGGACCGCCTCGAGTCATTGGAACAGCGGCATCGGATCGGATCGGATCGGATCGAAACATCGAGAGGGCCGGAATCGATCTCGAATCGGAACGAAGTGGGCCCTGGGCAGAGGTGCCAGCCATCGTTCCCGCTGGCCGCCGGCGCCTGCAGCCGCGCCATGGCAGAGCAGAGGGAGCGGCCCCCTCCTGGCGACGCTCGGCGTGGAGGCGGGAGGGGCCCCCAGGCGGGCCACGAGAGCTCCAAGAGGAACTCCTGGAAAGGGGCGCGCCAGCGGCCTGGAGGGCACGGATCGCCCTGGCGTTGCAGAGCAGCCCCGCGCATCGCTCGGTCAGAGGGCCCACTTGGGGGCGGCAGCACAGCAGGGAGGGTGCTGCCAAGAGATGGACGGATAGATGGCCGCCTGCTACGACGAGCTCGTCTGAGGCCGATGCTGGAAGACCGACTGCGCGCTCGCTTTGGACACAGATCGTGACGCTTGGCCACAACCACAGGGGGGTGCTACTTAGTAGTCTGTGCAGAAGAGTTGTGACCAACTCTAGGCCCGAAAGCTCGGCATAGGTGACGGTGCTGAACATCGCTCAACCGATCCCCATCCCCAGCGGCGTGGCCTGGGCCCCACTGGCCGATGAACCCCCCAAGATGGGGACATAGGCCGTTCCCTTCGGGTTTCGAGGGGTGTATCCCCAACTGGGGTGGTAATTTGGTAGGGGGTCTCGAAAGGGATGAGGATGGGGATGGGGGCCGGGTAAACAGTACTGAGCTGCGGTCACCTAGGTAGCGCCCGCCGCGGCCCACGGATCTGCACGAACGAAATGGGCACGGAAAGAATGGGCACAATGCCCAACAGCAGTTCCTGTTCAGTTCGAACAGGACTCGCTGTCCACGCCGCCGCGGCCTGTGTCCATTTGAAACAGAAGGCCGCCTGCCCAACAGTGGTTGCTGTTGGTTTGGGACAGCATTTGTTGTTGGGCAGGGTACCCATTCTTTCCGTGCCCATTTCGGGCGTCCAAAACGGACGCTGCTGCACTGCGCGGGGGGCACTGGGGGGCTTGCTCGCGCACGCGTGCGGAGCGCACGGGCTGCAGCGCACGGGCCCGCTGGCGCGGGGCGAGGGCCGGCCACGCCGCGAGCGCGAAGCTGCGGGCAAGGGCAGCGAGGACGCGACAGGGCGGCCTCGCGGAACAGCAACAGGGGCAGGCTGAAATAGGGCGACGATATCTATACACTTCCACTGCGCCCTGGCTGGGCCCATCTTCAGCCCAGCAGCGGTGCAGACGCCACGCCCTCCCGGCCTGGCCTATCGGCTTCGTCGCCAGGTGGAGGCCGACCCAGGACCGACGTGGAGGCTGCAGCTGACGCAGCTGACTCGGCGGCGAGTTGATCACGAACTTGCAAATCATACCCCAGAGGAATATCGTCGTCGACGACGTCGTCGTCTCGTCGTCATAATCATCAGCACCATCACCAGCAGCAGCATCATCACCACCACCATCATAACCATAATCAGAATCATCATCATCATCATCATCATCATCATCATCATCATCATCATCATCATCATCATCATCATCATCATCATCATCATCTGCATCATCTGCATCATCATCAGCAGCATCATCATAACTATCAGCATCATCAAACTCGTCATGCTCAGCATCATCATCCACATTATCAGCATCATCATCATCATCATCATCAGCAGCAGCAGCAGCATCCTATTTTTACCAGCACCCATCAGCACGATCACCACCACCATCATCATCATCATCATCATCAGCATCATCATCATGAGCAGCAGCAGCATCATCATCATCGTCATCATCATCATCAGCATCATCATCATCATTATCATCATCACCATGACCATCGCCGTTGGCATCACCACCACCACCATGATCATTATCAGCGTCGTCATGGTCATCGCCGTCATCAGCATCATCATTAACATCACCACCAGCATCATCCCTCTAAGCATCGTCATCATCAACAACAGCAGCAACATCAACATCATCAACAACATCAATGTTCCCCCTTCGCTTACTCCTCCTCTTCCTCCTTCTCCTCCTCCTCCTCATCATCATAATCATCGTCATCATCATCACTCTAGTCCTTCTCCTCCGCCTCCTCCTCCCCTTCTCCTCTACCTCCACCTTCTCTTCCTCTTCCTCTTCCTCCTCCCCTTCCTCTTCCTCCTCCTCCTCTTCCTCCTCCTCCTCCTCATCCTTGTTGTTCCTCTTCCTCAGCAGCACCGCTGGAGTCGGATGATGATGGATCCACGGACTGGGAAGGTGAATCAAACTGTTCTGGGCCCCCCTGAATCCATGGAGTGCCTCAGCGGGCCACCCGCCAGCAGCGTAGCACAATGGAAGGCAGCAGCAGCAGCAGCGGGAGCAGGTGGTAGAAAGGGGACCTCCCTCGTGCGAGTGCGCGGCCACCGGCCACCGCTCTTTGAGACGGTAGGGCGAAGCAGAGTCGGATTCTTTTTTTTGTTGAGGAGGGGCAGAGTGAAGACCAAACCACAACGAACGCTGGGACAGCCCGGCTGTAGCCCGGGGCCTCGGCCAGAATCCATCTGTGGTGATGTCAATGAGAATTCTTCTGCGACCGATTGCAATACGAATCCTTCTGTGGAACATTTCAATAAGAATCTTTCTGCGAAGAGTTTCAAACGGAATCCTTCTGTGGAGGGTTTCAATAGGAATCCCTCTGTGGTGGATGTCAATGAGAATCCTTATGCGATCGATTTCAATACGAATCCTTCTGTGGAGGATTTCAATAAGAATCCTTATGTGGAAGATTTGGACAGGAATCGAGGAGGCCGTTTGTATCCTTGGTCTCTCACACACCCCGTCTGTCTCACTCATAATCTGCCTTTTAAAAACATTGAAAACGCAGGCCCCCGTTACGACGGTGGAACCTCCTCCTCCTCCTCCTCCTCCTCCTCCTCCTCCTCCTCCTCCTCCTCCTCCTCCTCCGCCTCCTCCTCCGCCTCCGCCTCCGCCTCCGCCTCCGCCTCCGCCGCCGCCTCCACCTCCTCATCCTCATCCTCTCCTCCTCCCCTCCTCCTCCTCCTCCTCCTCCCTCCTCCTCCTCCTCCTCCTCCTCCTCCTCCTCCTCCGCCTCCGCCTCCGCTCCGCCTCCTCCTCCTCCTCCTCCCCTCCTCCTCCTCCTCCTCCTCCTCCTCCTCCTCCACCTCCTCCTCCTCCTCCTCCTCCTCCTCCTCCCCTCCTCCTCCCCTCTTCCTCCCCCTCCTCCTCCGCCTCCCCAACCCCCTCCCACTCCCCCTCCTCCTCATTCTCCTCCCCCTCCTCCTGCTTCCTCCTGCTCCTCCTCCTTCCTCCCCTCCTCCTCCTTCTCTCCTCCTCCTCCTTTCTCTCCTCTTCCTCTTTATCTTCATCCTCCTCCTCTTATTCCTCCTCCTCCTCATCCTCCTCCTCCTCCTCCTCCTCCTCCCCCTCCGCCTCACCTCACTTTCAGTCCTCATCCCTTGTCTTTCGCATCCCTCCCTCCCTCCCTCCCTTCCTTCCCCCTCCATGCCTGCTTTCCCCTCCCCCCTAATTCCCAGTCTTCCCTGCCTCCGTCCACCTCCAACTCCTCTCCTCGTGCGCGTTCCCGTCGGAGGGAGGGAGAAGAGGAGGAGGTTCTTGGGAGGTGGTCCAGCATCGAGAACCGAGCACCCATGCAAGCTCGGCAGGGCGAGGCTCCCCTGACAGGAAGACAGGACTGGGACCTCCCAAGGCGCAGCACGTCCCTCGCACCGTCCCGGCAGCTGGCCAGAGACGGGGGATGGGCCGCTTGGCCCCAAGGCGATTGCACGGCGCGCCGGCTGAGCCACTCACGCCTGGGCCATCTTGCCCCCAACGAGCGCGCCGACGCAGCCCAGAGTGACACCAGGGCCAGCACAGAGGGCAGCTCGGATTGCACCACGCGCACCTGCCCCCCTCCGCGTCGTTGGAGGGCTCCCGACGACAGCCAGTGCAAAGCAGCGCCCACGGGGCCGCTCCCCGAGCCTCGACCGCGCCTCGAGGCGGTCGGTGGCCGAGAGCTCGGCGACCTACGCCTGCAGGTCCGGGGAGGACAGCGGCCGCCACGTGCCCCTTCGGGACGCTGAGCCGGCAGGGACCCGGGGACTCCACGGCCCAGGTGAGCCCAGGGGGCGACGCCGTCGTGCACGCGGGGCAGGGAGTCGACAGGGGAGGGTGGGAGGGCACCGCGGCCTCCTCCTCCGCCTCCTCCTATTCCTCCTCCTCCTCCTCCTCCTCCCCTCCTCCTCTCCTCCCCTCCCCTCCTCCTCCTCTCATCCTGCTCCTCCTCCTCCTCCTTCCTCCTCCTCCTCCCTCCTCCCCTCCTCCTCCTCCCTCCTCCTACCTCCTCCTCCTCCTCCTCCTCCTCCTCCTCCTCTCCTCCTCCTCCTCCTCCTCCCTCCTCCTCCTCCTCCTCCTCCTCCTCCTCCCTCGACATTCACGGTCTCCCCGTCCTCCACCCGCACCTCCTGCTCCCTGTCGAGCTTCAGGGAGTCGGGTGTGGCACTGGGCTCCGAGTGATTCTGGGTGTCGGGCTGGGCGTGGGGCTTGGCGCCGTGCTTGTCCGCCACGACCTCCTCCTCCTCATCCTCCTCCTCCTCCTCCTCCTCCTCCTCCTCCTCCTCCTCCTCGCCCTCCTCGCCGATGGCTTGGCCGTGGAGCGTGGCGTCGGCCTCAGCTGCTGCTCAGGTCGGCCATGCCGATGCTGGGGCCAGGGACCACTGCACAGATGCCTTCACGGCCTTCGTGCCCAGGGCACGGTCTGAAGGGGCTGCTTCCTCTCGCGCTGGGCGCCCCGCCTTCGGAGCCGCTGCCACCTCGACCAGCGGACTCCGCCGCTGCCTTCCACCAGCGCGCCCCGCGCGCCCCGGAGACCAGCATGGGCGATGACTCCGAGGGGCCAGCTGGGCGCACGCGCTCCAGCCAGGCGGGGCTGCGCCTCGGGCGGGGCGCTCTGCGCCTGGCGGCGAGGCCTCGGCACGGCGATGGCCCAGTCCTGCGCCGCGGCATCGGCTGGGCCGCGTTGCCGCAGGGACTCGGCGGCGCGGCACGGCACGCAAGCACCGTCCACCGGGCCGCCGCCAAGGTGGCTCGCGACGCTGCGCCTTCCGCTGCACCCTGTTCAGCGTGCGCTGTGACATCGCACGCACCTCCGCCGCAGGGACCGCCGGGTGATGGACAGCAGCATTCCGACGCCCCACGGCCGTGGAGCTCGCCGTCGCTGCCGCGAGGTCCGCCTCCATGATCGGGGCCACGAGCTCCAGCCGCTCCACGAGCTCGTCCACGGCGGGCCGCGCAGCGGCGGGGGCGGCTGCTAGGGCAGCAGCAGCCTGGACTGCAGCCGTGGCATGGCGCAGCGAGGCCGCGAGGCCTGCAAGTCCTCCACCTCCGCCTGCAAGTTGGCGGTCCGCCGCAGCGCCGCCGCCAAGCGACCAGCCGCGGCCCTGCGGGCAGCCGCATGCCTGGCACAGCGCGCTGGCCACAGTGGGCGCGTGCCCGCCGCAGCGTCGGGCTGCTCCGCGGCCCCCGGGACAGCCGTGCAGCGGGCCACAGCCGTCTGCCGCTCCACGGCCATCCATCGCTTGCGCGGCCCGCACGCGAGCGCCCGAAACGAAAGTCTGCAGCTTGAGCAAAAAAAGCTACGGGAAAAGAAGAGGAGGAGGAGGAGGAGGAGGCGAAGGAGCAGGAGAATGCAGAGGAGAACGAGGAGGAGAACGAGGAGGAGAATGAGGAGAAGAACGAGGAGGCCGTACGACGACGACCACCGCCACCACCACCACCACCACGACATCGACCACAACCACAACGACGGCGAGGACGACGGTGACGGCGACGACGATGGCCACGACACGACCACGACGACGGCGGCGGCGACGGCGGCGACAACGAAGACGACGGCGACGATGACGACGACGACGGCCACCGCTGGGCTGCCTCCGCCTGCAGTACGCTTCGTAGCGCGGTTTCTCCTTGTAGGCGAGGTTGCCGAAGGACCTGGCCAGCCGTCGCCAGCGTCGAAGGCTGCGCGCTCGTGACAGCGACGACGAGGACGACGATGAAGGCGGCGGCGGCGGCGGCGGCGACGACGACGACGATGACGACGACGACGACGACGACGGAGACGGCGACGGCAACTGGTGCGGCGACACTGGTTCAGAACTCCAGACGCAGCGAACAACATACGACATGCGTTTTTGAGTAGTTCCTGCCTGCCAGGGCCATGTTCGGGCTCGGTCGGAGCCATCAGAGAACGTCCCTCGACGACAACCTGCACGAGTAACCGATCGTTGGAATAGGATCCAGGGCTCCGGAGCCCATTTCTGAAAAAGACGACGAAGACGGCAATGACGACTGCGATAGCGACGAAGGCGATGGCGATTACAATTAGGATGATGATGACGACAACGATTATGATGACGGCGACGATGTTGATGGCGGTGGGAATAATGATGATGTTGTTGCTGATGGTGGTGATGACTACGCTTATGATTCTGAGAATGAGAATGACAATGACAACAATGATGATGATGATAAAAATTATGATGATGATGATGATGATGATGATGATGATGATGGTCATGGTAATGGTAACGCTAATGACGATGATGATGATGATGATGATGATGATGATGATGATGCGTGTGATGATGATGACGACGATGATGATGATGACGATGATGATGATTATGATGATGGTGATGGTGATGGTGAAAATGACGAAGATGATGATGGTAGTGGTGATGGTGGTGATGATGAGTGTGGTGGGGCTGCCGATGATGATGATGGTGATCCGACGACAGAGTTAATGGGCCCCAAGATTGTCCAAGGGGCCTCCAAAAGCGCCCCAAGGGGGGCCTAAAGGGGGGAAAGACGAAGGGGCCCTGTCACCCTTCCCTAAATATCATCCCGAAGACCGCCAACATGCAAGAGCCCCCCAGAAGTGCCAAAGAGTCCTCAAGAGACCTAAACAGATGTCTCAGAGGCCTCTGGCCCACAACCCAGACACGGAGGCGGGATGGGCCGCAGGCCACTAGATGGCTGTTGATGATGATGCTGATGAGGATGATGAAAATGGCGATGGTTGTTATGGTGGTGGTGATCGTGATGGTGATGGTGATGGTAATGCTAATGGTGATGATGGTGATGACGATGCTGATGATGATGCTGATGATGATGGTGGTGATGGTGGTGATGATGTTGATTTAGCTGATGCTGATAATGAGTATGAGTATGGTGATGATGGTGGTTATAATCATGACAATGACCATGACACTGTGTATTATGATGATGGTGGTGATTATGATGATGCTGTAGATGTTCATGATGGTGCTTGTGATGCGTGTGATGGTGATGATGATGGTGGAGATGAAGATGATGATGACGATTGCGATGACGATAACGATGATGATGATGATGATGATGATGACGACACTGAAAGGTGATTGTGATGATGGTGAATACGATGATAATGGTCATTATAATGATGATGTTGATGATGATGCTGATGATAAGTGTAATGTTTATGCTGATGAGGATGATGCTGATGGTGCTTTAAACATGGTGGTGATGCTGATCATAGAGAAATGATGATAACGATGGTGGTGATGACGGTGTTGTTCATGATGCGCATGATGGTGAGGATGATGATGATGGTAGTGATGATGATGCTGATGATGATGACGTTGATGATGATGACGGTGACGAGGGTGGTTATGGTGGTGATGATGGCGATGGTGATGGTGAGGCTGATGATCATATGAGTCAAGCGACTCTGGAACCAAGAGGACCCATCTGTAAGGAAATAACTTCCGTTGCTCGACGAAGAACCATGCGAGTCCGGCCTCCACAGAAGAAAACAAGGAATCCTTATCGAAGGGTTCGTGCACGGGGGTAATTCCGGTCCCAACTTTCGGAAGAGGAATGGAATCTCAGCCGTGGGGGTTCTCGCACGCGGGTTTCCACCCACCCCCTTGGCGCAACCAGAGAAGGAAAAACGCGAGAGCCCAGATTGCACATGCAATGCAGCAACACTCTAGTAGCAGTTGTAGATTAGTTGTACCAGTGTTCGTGTTGCACTGTACCAGCCTGTTCTCCTGTGGTGCGACTTGTACCTGTACCACTTGCATTCTAGTATAACCTTCACCCTGGTACTAGTCGCATTCGAGCACAACTGGCACTCTAGCACGAGCTGCACTGCAGCATGAACGAGCGCGCGCGGAGGAAGGAAAGCGATCCGTGCGCACCGCCAGGGGTCCAAGGTTGAACGCGTCGCCGCGAGGAGAGACCTGGCGCCAGGAAAGGAAAGAACGTTGGTCAGGACTGCCAGGAGACCAGGCATGAATCGCGCAGGTGATATGACGGTGGCGAGTATGACAATGACGATGATGATGGTGATCATGGTCATGGTGATGAGAGTGGTGAAGATGATAAGCACGACCTTAACGGCCTCGTCGCGCGGTGATGAGAATGGTGATGATGATAAGCACGACCTTAACGGCCTCGTCGCGCGGTGCGCCAGCTAGCACGCCTGAATGAGCGTCCAGCGATTGCCACGGCGGGCCCGCAGACCTCTCGGTACCGCCACTGTGGCATGGAGGCTCGCTCGAACAGCACAGCACTGGAGAGCCCGCACATAGCCAAGGACAATCACCTTGCACACCCTCGCGCCCGAACAAACGACTGCCGGACAAGGGAAAACATTTGGCGGAAAAAAAACCGCATCAAAGCGGAAGAATCTAGTGCCTGCGCACAGTAAGGCCACAAGTCGTAGAACCAATGGTACACCAACATGTTGAAACCAAGTAGCGAAAAGAAAGCAGCGCCCAAATGGCGCGCGCCACCTCAGAGCTGCGACCCTCGGATACGCTGCAAAGGCAAGGATACGAAACCCCACGCGCCATCCTTCACGCCCAACCCTGGACGCACGACAGGCAGACGGGAAACAAAGCGGGCGGGAATCTCCATCTCTGGGTCGAGAAACAAGACGTGCACCTTCTGCTGAGGCGGAGCAGAATGCACCTGGAATCGTCGACACTGAGCGCTCGCGGAAGCGGCAACGGTCGAGGCGGCTTGGCAGGATGCTTTCCGCTGAGGAAACGACGCAGCCTGCCCTTCTTGTTCGGATCAGGATAGGTGCAAGTCAGGAGGAGGCCTCCCCGCGCGATGCCCTGACAATGAGAAGCACGTTGCGTGCACATGGCAGAGGACCTGCCAAACGAAGCCCCGTATCCCCCAGCAGAGGACGGGTGAACCTCTCTAGACTCGGGCAGGATCCCGTTCCGTAGCGGCTTGGAGCGTGCCCGTGTGTGGAAGCAATCATGCACCCGCATAGGGGAAAGATGTGGGGCAGTACACGAATGCAGGCGCCACTCCTCTGGAGGCTCCTCGACCCAGCTTCACTGGAGGGAGGAAGAGAAGTGGAAGAGGGGACTTGTGGCTCAAGCCAAGCTTCGTGAGCCTCCCTGGTCAGAGGCCCGACCAGTCGCACCTCGCCCTCCCTCCCCCTCCCGCCGCGGCGCCGGCGGCTCCCGAAGAGGGAGCCCGCACCCCCCGGAAGGGGAACGCTGGGGCAGGCCGGCGAGGAGCGCCTGTCCACGAGGCCGTGGCCTGCGGCGACGCAGGCCGGCTGCATCCCACAAGCCCTCTGGGCGCAGGTGGTTTATCGAGTTCTGCCTTCTCTCTGCCAATATCCCTCCTCCCGCTGCTCGGGGGAGGGGCTTGCCCCACCTGCCCCCTCCCCTGGGCCGCGGGGCGCTAGAGCTCCCGAGATCGCCCGGGATGGCTCCAGGAGAGCCTCGGAGACCCCAAGTTGGCCTCCAGGATGGCTCAGGATAACTCAAGATGGTTCAAGGCAGCCGCCAACGCAGATTCAAGAGGCCTCAAGACGGCCCCAAGATGGTTTCAAGTGCCCCTGAGCCCTCCAAGGACCCCGCCAAGAGGCCAAAACGGCTCCAAAACCTGGGACAAATAAAGGTGTTCTCCTTCTCGCCTTATCGATTCCGATGGGCCTCGGAGGCCCCACAATGGCCTCAAGATGGCCCAAGGGAGCCCCAAGAGGGACCAAGAGGGCTCCAAGACGGCCCCAGGAGCGCCCAAGAGCGCTCCAAGAACGGCTCCAGAGGGCATCAAGACGAAATGTTCGAGCCTTCGAGGGGGGGACCTGAATGCGTTACCCCTCTCTCTTTGAGCCTCGGCTCCCCAAAGAGCCCCAAGAGGGCCCCTAGACCCCCCAAAAGAGCCCCAAGAGGGCCCCAAAAGTGCCCCAAGTGGCTCAGCGGGGACCCCAAGCGAGACCCAAGATGGCTCCAATAGACCTCCGAGAAAACACTTGCAAGGCGGTTGTTGCTCTGCATGTTTCTACACTTTCCTGATCAAAGCAGCTCGCCTGGCGATCTGTTTCTGGATGGACTGGTGGGGATGCGCAAAGCGTCCAGAATTCGACCATTCGCCCAGGAGGAAGAGGAGGAGGAGGAGGAGGAGGAGGAGGAGGGAGACGGGAGGGACCCGCGCCCCCCCTCCCTCACACCTACCCTCCCATCCTCCCCCTTCCCCGTGCATTCTTCCCGTACCCCTCCCCACGTCTCTCTGCCGCACACCGCATGTGCCCCAGGAGGAGACAACCGAGGCCATAAAGAGACTTTCGCACCCTGGCAGCCTGAACCGAATGGCTGGCTCCAAAAAAACCCTGTCCCCCCCCCCCCCCCAAAAAAAAAGTACACCTCTTGGGGGACCGAATTTTGCTTTCGCCCGCTTCCGCCGGCGGAAAGCGCCCGCGATCTGCGTCCACCAGCTTCCGCCAAACTTCCGCCGAGAAAAAGACGTCAATCCCCTCGACCCCTCGAAAGCGAGGCACTTTGTGGAACTCCGCGTGTCCCCGCGCGGACCTCCGAAAGGTTGGTTTGATGTAGATATGTGCCCCTTCGGTGTATGCCACCCAGCCTCCTTTAACAAACATTGCTATATCGCCATGCCGTTGGGTGGCGGGCAGGCCTATTGTCGATGATGTCGTAGCCCCTGTGATCTTCCTCCTCGAAGCGCTCGGGGGCAACGCGATTGAGCTTGCGGCTCTCGTTGATGTGGTCGGCCTGCAGGATAGGCAGAGGGAGGACCAAGCGTCACTGCACCGACCTTGCAGACGTGCTGCAGCGGATGTTGGCGCGGATGTCTGTCAATGCAAACCCCGAAGCGGCGAGCGAAAAACGCAGTGAGTTTCGCGTGGACGTTTTGTAGTCTTCACTCCTGGCCGAAAAGAACCAGCACACAACTCACGTCTAAATCCGGAATAAAGCTCTCCAGGACCACCTCGGCCCACCCCATTGTTTTCCGAACGACATCCGTTCTGCGATGTTGGCGCCATGTCTCAGTGAACTGCCAGGAAGCCAGAAGTGACGATCGAACAACACGCACCCATACCCATAGGGGGGACGGAGGAGGCTATGGGTGCGTGTTGTCGGATGGGGGTCCCCGCTCGAACGGGAGCTTCCCCCAGGGTCCGACAACTCGCACCCATACCCACAGCCAGTTCCCCTCCTTTCCACCCTCCTATGGGTATGGGTATGGGTGTGAGTTGTTCGCTGGTCAATAAGCACACGTGGCTGGATCCCCATGCGGAGCACCTGGAGGTCACGCGCCAGCGACACACGTGCGGAGGCCGGGCCTCCGCACGGCCAGAGCAGAGGCCACGACCGCCGGAGAGACGTCCGGCCACACGCGCACCCAGCTCTCGCCGAGACTGGCCGCGTCCTGTGCATCCGGCTTCCTGGTGCGGCCCACACCGGTGAGCTCGAGTAGGGGATCGGCTGCGGCATTGATTTGCCCCCCAAAACTGGGTGTCCCGCCGAATCTACGGAACAAAAAAAAAACCTAGCATGTCCTGTGCGTCGACGAACATTCTACGCGCCTCCTGCATAGTCGGCGGGAAATCCAATGTTGGAGCAAATCGATGATGTAGTCGATCCTTTATTCGACAGGTCTGGCAGGGGGCGCGGGAGGCTCTCCTCGAGCCCCGCAGGGGCGCAGTCCGAGGGAGAGGCCCCCTGGCCTCCTCGCGAGGCGAAGGAGAGAGGATGATGATGATGATGATGATGATGAGGAGGAGGAGGAGGAGGAGGAGGAGGCGGAGGTGGAGGCGGAGGAGGAGGAGGAGGAGAGAGGAGAGAGAAGAGGGGGAGGAGGAGGGAGAGGGGGATGAGGGAGGAGGGAGAGGAGAGAGGGGAGGGAGGGAGGAGGGAAAAGGGAGGGAGGAGGGGAGAAGGAAGGGAGGGAGGAGGAGGAGGAGGGAGGAGGAGGAGAGGAGGGAAGGAGGAGGAGGAGGAGGAGGAGGAGGAGGGAAGAGGAGGAGGAGGAAGCAACGTTATGGCCCGAGCAGCGGCCGGGGGCCACGGTGGGACGCCCACGGGGAGCATATAATGAGACACCCCGTGGCCTAGACCTCTGGCGCCATGGGCTTTCACGGCGCGGGCCCGTGGATTTTCGTCGCTGGTCAGTTTTCGTCGATGGCCAGTCAGGGATGGAGGAGGAGGAGGAGGAGGAGGAGAGGGAGGAGGAGAACGAGGAGGAGGAGGAGGAGGAGGAGGTAAAACAACACGTCAGCTACAACCAGGCCCTCAACATCCAGAAGGAGATCACCCTGGCTAAGGAACCCATGTCCAAGCTCATCGACAGCCTCAACGAGTCCATCGACAACCTGCGCCCGTGAACTTCGGCGATAGCCATCCTCGCCATCACCCACCAAACTCTGGACCCACGCGCCCGACGACGTCACAGCCAACGGATACGCCTTCCCGACCTCCGATCTACGCTTCAACTGTTCCTCATCAACCAGTACTTCCTGAACCTCATCCTCCGCATCGTCCACAGGAACATCCTTGCCCCCTACATCCTCGGCTACTCCATGTGCACGAACTGCACCCTCCTGAAACACTACCACCTCTGAGGGCAAGAAGGGGTCGGAGTGGATGAGTGTGGAAGTGAGTTGTGTGGAGCATGTGGGGCGGTCGGTGTGGGGGTGGGTTGGGAGGGCGCACACCAGTCGACCCGCAGTTGCCTTTCCTCAGTTCCTCCCCTCCCTCGTTCGCTTCGCCGTCCGTGTCCGCCTTCGACCTCCTCTTTCCGGCCCCCGCCCGTTTTTCCCCCCCCCAGACCCCCGACGTCATGCATGAATTTTTCATGACGTCGACCCCCAGCAGTCTGGACCCTTTCCCCGGGACCGGTTTTGCGTCCTGAGTCGTTGTTTGACGGTCCCGAGGGCCGGTAAGGGCCCCTAAAGGCCCAAAATCATGAAAAACCTCCCGTCGTGATTTTTTCATAACTCGAGGGGGTCTGGGCCTCGTACCTCGCCAGCCTCACCACCACAGACCGGCCCATTTTCCGAACTGGCCCCCTCCTGCGGCACCTTGCTGCGGCACCCGCGGGAGGGGGCCACTGGCTGCACCAACAGCCTGGATCAACAGCCACGAACGAGCGAGCGAGCGAGGAGGAGGGAAGAGGAGGCAGAGGAGAAGGAACAGGAGGAGGAGGAGGAGGAGGAGGAGGAGGAGGAGGAGGAGGAGGAGGGGGAGGAGGAGGAGGAGGAGGAGGAGGAGGAGGAGGAGCAGGAGCAAGAGGAGGAGCAGGAGGAGAAGGAGGAGGAGGAGGACGACGACGACGACAGCAGGAAAGGCCAGCGGATACCTCGGAGACCTTCGACGTCATGGGTTTTCACGGTGCGGGCCTTGGCGGCGCGCAGAGAGGGGTCGAGGGAGGGGGAGGCTTCTTAGAAGGAGGCCGCTTCTTAGAAGGCGCTGGCATCCATAGGCAAGGCCCGCGCCTTCCAGGAAGCAGGATGATTCTAGGAAGCCTTCCCCCTCCCCCTACCCCCCTCTGCGCGTAACCGAGGGCCACTGAAATTTCGTCGCTGGTCAGTTGTTCGTCGATGGTCAGTCAGGGATGGATGCGGAGGAGGAGGAGGAGGAGGAGCAGGAGAAGAAGGAGCAGGAGGAGGAGGAGGACGACGACGACGGCAGGAGAGGCCAACAGATGGCCCGGAGACCCGGGCTTCCCCCGGAAGCCCAGGGGCCGGCTGCATGTTCTGTGTGCCGTTCGTGCGCTCCGACCGGCCTGGGGCCCGAGCCCCGACCCCGGAATCCCGAGCCGATCGAGAAACGCGCGTCGCAGTTTCTTCGCGAAGCTGGAGGTCCAGGAGTGAGGAGGACGAAGGAGAAGGGAGGACTCCGCCTGCGAGGCCAGATCGAAGAGGCGCTGCCGCCGAGACCCTGTCCAGGCAGGTGCGCTGGACAGCGTGACCGAGTAAACACAGTGCGGAGCAAGACGTGATTGTTCCTCTGCAAGGCGACGCATGATCCAGCAGTACCAACGCGCAGCCATTCGACAAAAAGTACGCGTGCCCAGCTACAACGGGAGAGAGAGAGAGAGAGAGAATAAACAGAGAGAGAGAGAGAGACAGACAGAGACAGCGAGAATGACAGAGAAAGGGAGAGATTCCCCAGACTGTGCTTGCACCCAGGGGTTCTTACGTGGCGAAACCATTCAGGGTGGATGGCGGCTTTTGCGGGCAATGCCGCCCGTCGCCGCCGTCGCCGTCGCCGTCGCCGTCGCCGCCGCTCGGGGCAAGTGGCGGCGTTTGTGGGCGGTGCCGTCCGTCGCCGCCGTCGCCGTCGCACAGGTTCTCCTTCCTGAAAAGAGAATCGACTCTACCCTCCCCCCCCCCGGGATTATGGGCACCCTTGTTCGCATTGCAATTTACATACGATTTTGTCCCATCGCCCAGCCCAAATATGAGCCCGTACCATCCCAGCCCAACCGGTATCGCCCCCCCCCCGCCATCCTCTGCAACTAAAACTATGCGCGCACACTCGCTGCCGTGAAAAAACCATTATATATATATGTGAAAGAGAGAGAGAGAGAGAGAGAGAGAGAGAGAAAAAAAAAAAAAAAAAAAAAGAGAGAGAGAGAGAGAACAAAAAAAACGCGAAAACGAAGTGCACAAGTGCGCGTCGTCGGGCGCGCGTGCCGAAATCTTTCAAAAACCGTGGGTGTCGTAAGGATGTCAAATTCGAGCGTCCCAAAAAAAACTACACTAACAACAACAACAACAACAACAACAACAACAACAACAACCACAACCACAACCACAACAACCACAACAACAACAGCATACGGTCTCGCAACACGAATTCCCCAAAACAACTTACGCGCGATTGCGAATGTTTCACGAACCCACTAGTGTTTCAACCTGTTCATAACATGCTACCAAGCAGGTTTCGCGCGCGCATATCGAAATCGTTCGAACGCCCTTGCGCGCGTGCTGGGGTGGCACGACCCGCGTCAAATAGAGCCATGCGGGCCGCTGTCGCGCCTCTGCCGCGCGCGCATGTCGAACTCGTTCCGAAACCTTCATCACCGAAGCGAAGACGCCGTCATCGTCGTCGGCGTCATAAGCATCGGCGCCGTCATTGGCTGCCCCGTCGTCGCTGTCAGCATCGCCACCAACATCGCGACTATCATCATCGTATCCACCTTTGACGACTATCATCGTCGTTGCCATGATACCGCGCCTGCCCAAGTCGCCGACTCGCACTGAAGTGCCCGGTGGAATGTGCCGAACGGTCAGCGCCACCGCGTTCCTGTCGGCCGCGCCAAACTATCTGGCCGCTGCGCGCGCGAGCACGCGCGGGTCAGTGCGGCCGCAGAGATGCACCAGCCAACACCAAGCACTCATCGCAATCGCTTCCGCATGGGTTTTGCAAACCAAGTTGCGGGTGGGTGGGTGGGGTTATTGCGCGAGCGATGGAATCGACAACTTCAAGTTCGGCAAGGTGAAATCTCCTTTCTCAAAACAGAATAGACTCTACCCTCCCCCCGGCGTTATCCGTTCCCCTTTCGGGTACGTATATCATATACGATTCTGACAACAGGCCCATCCTAAATATGAATTTACACTATCCCAGGGCAACCGGTATCGGCCCCTCTTGAGGTTCCCTTGTAAAAAACGATACGCGGGGACATCGTTTGTTCTAACATAACATTTGTTGATGAATCCCTTGCCAAAAAATTGAACGAAGTGCACACGCGGGCGTCGTCGCGCGC